CTTAGAGATAAGCCATCATTAAGCACGTCAACTTGGATGACAAAAGAGGTAGACTTGAGAAAGTTGCCGACAAGGAGACTTGTCATTTATGTTTTTCAAAACGTAGCTCCCGACGGGTTGGTCGCTTGTCAAAAGTGTCAAAGTGTGATATATTCAGAGATGAAATATCAAGAACACGCCAACTCGAATGATATGGGAATCGACTCGAGAGAGTTATTTTTAACAAAGAGATTTGTTTATCCATATATTTTGAAAACACCATMGTGTCACTATCCCCGGTCCAGACACCTCATAGAGATATGGRTGGAAAGCTATAAGATAGTGMAATGGTGAAGTCCGAGAGGAATGCCTTCAAAATAGATGGTGGAACTTAGTTTCGAAACACTGCTTGCTGTAGCATTGCTACAGCATTGGCTGCTGGAATTTGTGTTTGGGTCTCACCTTAAGTCTTACACCCTTGCTTCTTTTATATATTCTGTATTCTGTTTGAATTCGCCTTAAAATAAAGAAAAGTCTTCAAAATCGTCATCTGAAATCATCTCTTTCATTGGACTCTAATATAACTTTGGCTACAAGCTCTGTGGACGATAATCCGGTACTTGTACCACTTATTACTTGGAAAGGCGACGTTGGGCCGTATTGTATACTTGCTTTTCGGCCCAATTTCATTAAGTCTAAAGGTGTGAAATAAACCCGACCAGTAGTTTTAGAAAAATATGTTCCAAGAAAAGTCATTGGACGAATTAACTCACCTCCATCAATATTGAAAATCCAATGAAATCCCACCCCAAACCCCGTCTCTAACATCTCTCCTCCGATGAACCCCAAACTTTTCCCCTATTGTTCCTTTTATGATTAAGTTCCCTTTACTTTGTGAAAACCGAACCCCCACCGCCATATTCATCAAAGCGGTGAAAACCTTTTTGATTTTTATATGAACGATGAACTCATGTCGCCATATGTATCATCCCTGGATTTCAAGACAATGAATCATCTCCTTGCATCAACCCTTTGTTGTGGTTCTAGTGGTTCCAGATCTCTATTGTGGTCCTTATGTGTCGTCCATGTTTTTCTAGTTTAGGTGGTTTCACATCAGCACTGGGTTTCATTGATTTGATTGTTGGTTTTGGATTTTGACGAGATTCAAGTTGTGGGATCTTGACCACAAGATGCAAAATCGTTGGTTTGGTTTGTGGTGTGTTGGGAGTGATTTTGATTCTAGAGTATGGATTAAGGTTTTCATTGTTTTTTATTTAGATTTAAATTCTGATTTAGAAATGTTGTTAGATATGAATTTGGAATCTTAGCTTTAGATTTGTATGCATATTCTTAATATTTGATTTATATGAATGCTTTTAAATTTTTATGAATGTTTATATTTCAGTTGTATTAATGTTTTATCAATTTTTGTGAATATTCATGAGATTTGATTTAGTATTTCTATTTATTTAGGTTCTTGAATTTTGAATATTCATACGGGTTCTATTATAGACGATGGTGATGGTGGGTGACGGTGATGGTGGTGGTGGCTTCTAAGCATTTATTGGTTGAGGAAGAAAGAGGTGAACCCTTATCTAGGTGAAGGATCATGTGAGAAGCGTAAGAAGAGATTTGAACTCTTGATCACTTTTAATCCCATGCACATCCTTGAATTGCGCTTTAAAAGAGATTTGATCTTGTGCATCTCGTTGTACCTTATTAGCGTTGACATTCAATTATGATTGATCCAAAGATGAAGATCTCTTTTTACGCTTTTCATCATAACTTCCCTTCTCACTGGAACACAACCCCCCTTTATCTAACGATGTTAACTTAGAGTACTTAT